ATAAAAAAAAAAAAATATTAAATAACTAAAGTAACTCTATTTTAATTTTATTGAGAGTTTATTTTTTTATTTGATATATAATTTAAATTATATTATATTATTTATTATATATTAATTTATATATCAATTTATATATTATATTATATATAGTATCTTATATATAATAACTAAAATAATAATTATTATAAATAATTAAATAATTTAAAATAATTATTGTAATATTTTTCTCAAAGATAAATTTATTGTAATGCAATTATTTTATCTAATTTTTGTTGAAATGCAATGAATGCGTCAAAGTTATCGTATGAAAAAGCAACAACAACAAAATTGCTAACAAAAAAATAGATTTCTTTCTCTCTCTCTCTCTCTCTCTTTCTCTTAGGATGCATTTCTTAGAATTGTAAATCTTTCGATGCAATAAAATGAAAGATTATATACTATCATAAAGATAATTAGATGCTTACCATAAGAGCTATGCGAGCACCAATAACTGGTTTCCACCGATCCGTGCTACCCAATAGCCCGAAGTCTATATAATATCACTCTCTTTCTCTTTCTCTCTCTCTCTCTCTCTCTCTCTCTGTTATATTATTCTTTGACCATTTGTCAAATATCTTCTCACACATATGCCGCATATCATCCATTTTCTTTTCAACTAACTCATCTCTTTCTCTCTTTCTTTCTCTCTCGTCCGATGTCAATTAATATTTTGTGATCTACATCTTTCGCTATCGTCGTTGCTTCTCGAAATTACGGGGAGAAAAAACAAAAAACAAAAAAAAAAAACAACAAATAAATCAATCTCCTCTTCAATTATCATTTTCCATATGTTCCTTTTCTTGTTGTTTTTTGCCAATATAATTTCTCTCTTATTTCTTATAATTTGTTTGTTTCTCTCTCTCTCTCTCTTTCTCTCTTCGTCTTCTTTGTACATCGTTGAAAAAAGTGTAAAAAAAAAAAAAAAAAAATAAATAAAATAAAGTTTCGTCGTTCCACCCTCTCTCTCTTTCTCTTTCTCTCACCTCATTTGATTTCTTCACTCCAGTTCAACCCCCATCTCCCCATTTCAGCTCCCCCCCCGTTCTAACGGATTCGCAGACTCGATTCTTATTAACTCCAGAATTATTCTACTGGATGTTATTTACGTTATTCGTACGTTTTCGTACATCGTTTGACGAGGGATCCACACAATCAGGGGTTTAATTTTGTTTGTTGTTTAGTTGCTTATTTTCACCAATAAGGTGCATCGTTGGCCAAATGATGCCACGATGCAAATTCACTCCACGTTCGTACATTGGCACGTGTTGCATCGGATACACGGGGTATGTTCAATCCGTTGTTGTTGTTGTTGTTGTTGTTGTTTTCACCATTGTTCATGTTGCGATTATGATTGTTGTTGTTGTTGTTGTTCGTTAATAATCCATCGCAATTAGATGCCGAGAGATCGTATCGCTTGGCTGGTGCTCTTTGCTGAAATATTAATAATAATAATAATTAATAATTCATTTCTTTCTTTGTATGTTAATTCTTTTTTTTTTGTCTTATGTTAAAAGTGTACATGTTCGTGCACAACAATGTTGCATGCAGTTTGTTTGTTGCGTTGTAATTTATATATTAATTTTGTAAAAAGTGAACTCGTGTATATTACAAATTAAAACAAAATTTAGATAACGGTGGATGATCATTTATTACACGATATTTATTAATGGACGATTATTTCAAGCGGAAATCAATCAAATGTAACAATAATATAAATTATATAAATAGAAAGAAGATAAATAATCTCATTGGTAGTAGTGAGACTGCGTATTTGAAGAAGGAGAATGGTCTCTCTTTGATTGGTGATCTCATTGACACGAAGTTTCTAAAATTACACCTCTCGATCGATACAAATTGGAATAAACGTTGACTGTTGGAATACTTTAAAGGCCATTGTTCTCTTTCTCTCTCTCTCTCTCTTTCTCTCTCTTTTTTTATTTATTATTTATCACGTGATTCGATTGAATAGTAGTAGTAGTAACGTAATTTGTATATACGAGATGTTTATACTAAGTTTGCCAATCAATTGGCTTACACTTACTGTGATTTAATATTAAACTTACACCCAGACCCAACGACGTGAGGTCAAATTTGTCCCAGAAAAAAAAAAAAAGTAATAAAAATAAAATTACATTCATTCATAAACAAATGAACATATATTTTTTTTCTTTTTTTTTGTTTTCATTCGTTATGTCCAATTGACTAAAATCACATTTTATATTAAGATAAATGTTATATGTTTTTTAAATGATCATTTGACCAATCATGAAATGAATATACATGAAGTATTTATTTATTAAATAAAAGTTTGATATTTAAATTAAAAAAAAAAAAAAAACTCTAAAGAGAAAGAGAGAGAGAGAGAGAGAGAGTGTATTCGTTTAATATTAATAACACGGTAAATACGTGCGACGCGATTTCTTCTCATTTTCCCAGCCCTCTCTTTCAGCCTAATGCAAAAGTTCACCGAGCAAAGAGAAATAGAAAAAGAAAAAGAGAAAGAGAGAGAAGAGAGAGAAGAGAGAGCTAAGTAAAGGTCATCATCTCTCTAAGAGTGATCCTTAAATAAAACCGTGAGAGACGCGGGTCTTGGCGTGTCAAGTAAGTAGTAATCTCGACGTATATACACTACGCGATAAATCCAAGAAAATGATACTAATCGTAAGAAGAAAAATGATCAATTTCCGTTATCTTTATGATGGCGTATTTATCGCGATCGATAGTCGAATTGTATATAATATATATATACAAATCAAATGTATTATAGATATAATATATGTATATATATATATATATATATATATATAAAAATACTATATATCAATTACTAGGGGTGTCCTTTACAATCAGTCCGATATACACGTCTTTAAGTCAATTGCGATTATAAATTGAGATATAAACTATCCTATCTTTCAAGTTGGATGAAACTGCACAAAGTGTGCAAAATTTGATTAAAATTGGTTCAGTAGTTTAAGAGTTCATTGCGGACAAACAACGTTACACGTAATTTATATATATTAAGATAAGATGAAGTAAAGTTTTTTTTTTTTTAAATATTAATTTAATAGCAAGCTTATAGTATTTATGTGAATATATATACATATATATATATAAATTAAAATTTGTCTTTTTTTTTAAGTATGCTAAGAGCAAGGCCTTGACAAAAGAAAAAATAAACGTCTATATATTATAATATAGCATATCTATGATATCTATAATTAAATATACATTTATATATTGTATATATTGTATATATGTATTAGTACAAGACCTTACCCGACAAAAAAAACCCGTTTTTGTGAATATTCAAAGAGAACGAGTTGAACACACCTCCTGTCTTTTCTTGACAACATAATTTTTGCCCTCGTTGTTGTCCCAGAATTCCCTTCCGTCTGTACGATATCTGACGCAAAATTCAATAACGTCAGATTTCAATGGCAACGTAAGTCGAAAACGGAAGGTGTCGTAAAGGATGAGCGCCGGTGCACCTGGTTGTTCAACGTAAGTGCAATAATTGTCCTCGTGGGTATTCCAGTTGTCGTTGCTAGCTCTAACTATGACCTCCTTGTCATAAGCAAGATTTCGCACTTTCACCGTACCAACCAATGCTTGCTCGGATTCTCGAATAATCACGTTCTCCAAACTGACATTCTCCTGATCGAGTTTTCGACGAAATGCGAGATAATCGCTGGCTGGCTGAGGAAACGTAACTTGCCATGGTGGTATCGTATCTTGCGTTACCTCGTTGTCGATTTTTGTTCTTAACAATCCTCCCGTTACACCTTCTATGTATGCCGATGTCCATAATGGCGGTACGTTACTAGGCTCCGACATTACCCGTACCTGTTCGTGTTTCATTTAATTTTCATTTTAATTTCGTCTCAAACAACAACAACAACAACAAAAATGATCCAACAGATATAAGCACATGTTACATACCTGAGTTAGTGGACGACCACGATCATCGGCAAATACGACCTTCTTTTTCTGCTTGTTACTGTTGTTATTGTTGTTTTTTATACTGTTCAAAGGTAATGAACCAGTGGACAGGCATGGTCGTATTCTGGGTGGTACCGATCTTGTGGTAATCGGTGGTGCTGTGCGTACCAGAGGAGAGTATAACAGTGGACTGTATACCGGAGGACTGTGCCCCAGGATCAGTTCAGCTGGCATCGCTATGGAACACATTTAGATCTACAAACAAAACAAACAAAATCAATAATAGGTGTGTGTGTGTGTGTGTGTGTGTGTGTTACAATTATCAAATAAAATTTGATCTAATTAATTGTTCTACATTAATGCAATTTGTGATCAATTTTCTTGCATTTTATTTCACCTGCATTACATGTAAATAAATTCCAAACTCACATATTGAGATAGTAAACAAAAAACAAAAATCATATTTTGCATTTATTTAAATTTAAATCACTGATCCATTAACTCATCAAGAGAATATTATCTTTTATCTCTCTTTCCTTTTTTTTTTTTATCTRAATGATAGTAATATCAATATTTTTCAGTGAAAATATGGATATGTATAAAATAGCCTCAAGTAAAATGGTCAAACGGGAATGGGTTTTAAGTTGTATCGCAGTACTACCATATACTCTATATATCGAATGATAGATATAGAAAGAGAGTGTGAGAGAAAGAGAGAGAGAGAGAGAGAAAAAGAGTAGGAGATAACAGATAATCGATCTATAGATTATAGATCACACAAGACCTGTTTCATATACTCAGTTCTCTCTTCACGAGGACAACACACACCTGCGAGAAATTATCAAGCTTGGATATATTATTTCTCGCTTCTATAATCCCCCCCCCACCCGATTTTCCTTTCACCCCCATCATCATCACCACCATCATCATCATCATCATCATCATCATCATCATCATCCTCCCACCGTACTATCTTTCTATCCTTATCTCACTGTCATCGATTATTATTTATATCTCACGGTCGATCGAATTTCTTCTTCTTGTTCTTCTTCTTCTTCTTCTTCGTTCTTTCTTTCTTTTTCTTACTTCTACAGCAACTCGGTAACAACGACGAAATAAAAAAAAAAAAAAAAAAATAAAAGGAGGGCACCATGCGTAAATCGAGTTTGCGTTTGATTTTATCGTACCTTTTATCTATCTAAACGTAGATACAATGCGTGTGTAAGAATAACGTACGATGAACTACGCCTACGTATCAAACGACACCCTCCTCCCTCCTCCTCCTCCTCCTCCCCTCCACACCCCATTTCTTCTCTCTCTCTCTCTTTCTGTATATATTTTTTGTTGTTGTATTTTCTTCAATCCTATTCTCATGTTGCTATATAAAACGAAACACTTGAAAAAAAAGTTAAGAGGCGTGTACCTATACTTCTTCTTACACTACTGCAAACACACACACACACACATACATATATATGTATATGCGTATGTATATAGTAGACAGAGTATGATTACGATGACAACACAACGACGACGAAGACGACGAGATTGAAACGGGCACTTGGTACCGTTTTCCTTTCGCCCTTCTTCCTTTTATTTCGACCGGTTACCAAGGTAAATCTTCACGTCTACCAGACTAGAACCAAACAGGCACGTGTGCGACTTCTGAATCGACGATGCACGTAAAAGAAAAGAAAGAGAGAGAGAGAGAGAGAGATAGATGCAACTTGAACGTTTAGTGTTCGGCCATGTTGTTTTTATGTTATACGCATCTAATGATTGTTATTTTCTTGTATTTTTGATAGATAATTAATTGGAAATTTATTAATAAAAAATAATGAACATTTATTTACATATTGGGTTAAGTTTCAAGTTGTAAGATTGTTTAATATTTGTTAAAGAAAGAAAGAGAGGGATAGATGCAATTTGAACGTTTAGTGTGTCGGCCATGTTGTTTTCAAGTTACAGGCATCTGATGATCGTTATTTTCTTGTATTTTTGATAGATTATTAATTGGAAATTTATTAATTAAAAAAAATGAACATTTATTTGCATAATGGGTTAAGGTTTCAAGTTGTAAGATTGTTTAATTAATATTTTATTGATTAATTATTTGTTACTAGTCGGATTTGTTATTTGCAGCAATGAACTATTGAGTTCCTAATGTCAATTAATAATTATTATTATTATTTGTTGTTTAAATTGAAATTGTGAATGTTGTAATAAACTTTTTATAAGTCAAGTTTATGATTTTCAAATCGAAGTCAAATGAGTCTCAAATTATTGTTTAAAGCTTAATTTCTTATTTGGTTTCCATGCACGTGTTTGTTTAATCTAATATTTAAATGTAAATATTTTAATATTTACGAGAAGTGTTTTTTTCTTTTTTCTTTTTTTTTTTTCGAATTGATATTGGAAAATTTTGATTACATGATTATAGTTCGTCAGGTCATATATTATATATATTTTTTTTTCTTTTCATCTCAGTTGGCACACGAGGACGATTCGATGCATTTTTTTTTTTATAAAAACAAATATATATATATATATATATAGTTTGCTATTTTTACAAGTGGCTCGACTTTGACTTGAAATTCTTTATTCGCAGTCATTATATTTTTATAACAAAATAAATAATACATTGAATAATAAACAAAGTCTATCGATAGTGTTCAATGATAATTTGCCAAGTGCATAATAAGTACATACCATTACTATATGCAATAATTATTTGTTTCGTAAAATTGCGTTGTAAAATTATGTAACGATAAAGAAAGTTATAAAGAAACAAAAAAAAAAAAAAAAAAAAAAAAAAAAAA